TTGCAGCCTGGCCATGTAGTAGAGAAGCGAAAAGCATGCAATAGTGCAGCCCAGCAACCATTAGCTAAGAAGATTAGTACAAAGAAAAGGGATTATCAAGAGAAGGGGAAAAGGACCCTGAAGGCATTGCAGAAGTCTCTGGGGCCAACCCTTCCATTTCAGGCCCAAAGACCTAGGGAGACAAAATAGTCTTGGGGAACAGGCCTGAGGCACCCCTCCACAGGCTCACTGCTCAGGACCACCTCAGGAAGCTGCTTCAAAAACCAGCACCCTAGCTGCTTTGGCTGCTCCAGCTGTGGCTAAATAGGTCCCAGGTGTAACTGGACCTGCAGCTTTGGAAGATACAAGCCAGAAGCCTTGGCGGCATCCCTGTGATGTTAAGTCTTTAGGCTCACAGAATGCCAGAGCTGTAGAGGCTTGGGAGCCTCCACCCTGATTTCAAAGGATGTGTGGAAAAGTCTGGGGGCCCAGGAAGAGATCTGTCTCAGGGTCAGAATCACCACAGACAGCTTTCACTAGAGCAATGCTGAGCAGAAATGTGGGGTCAGAGTTGCGGCAGAAAAACCCCAACAGTGCCATGCTTAGTGGAGCCATGGGAGCTGGACCACCATGGAAACCCCAGACCTGTGGAGCTACCAGAGTGGAACACCCACCTGTGGGAGCTAAAGCATCACCTGAGACCAGGAAAGCCATAGGCGCAGAGCTGCCCGAGGACTTGGGAACCCAACCCCCACACCAGCATGCAGAGGAGGTGGAACATGAAGTCAAGGTACATGATTCACCAGCTTTGAGATTCATTGCCTGCCCTGCTTGGTTTCCGACTTGTTTGGGACCTGCTACTCCTTTCTTTTGGCCTATTTCTCCCTTTTGGAATGGGACTATGTACCCTATGTTTGTCCCACCATTGTATCTTGGAGGTAGATAACTTGTATTGATTTTACAGATGGGACTTTGAACTTTGGACTCTTGAGTTGAAACAAGTTAAGATTTGGGGGATGAAATGAATGCATTTGTGTGTGAAAAGGACATAACTTTTGGGGGACAGGGGCAGAATGTAGTCGATTGAATTATGTCCCCCCCAAACTCCCTGAAGCTTGAATTGTGTCCGCCAAGTTTTACATATTAGAAACAGACCCCACTGCAACTGTTAAGAGTATGGGAAATCCTATTATGGTAATTGAAAGGTGGAGCCTTGAAGAGGTGACTGGATTGTAGGACCGTGCAGTAGTGAATGGATTAAAAATGGTGGTCAGGGGTGTGGTTCTGAGGGCTTTAAAAGAAGAGGAGAGTCTGTCTCTCTCACTCTCTCTGTCTCTGTGCTTCCACCATCTTGCAATGTGAGACCCCTGGGTCACTGTTGCCACCACCAGATGGACTTTGGATTTCCCAGCCTCAGAAACTGTAAGCAATAAATTTTGTTTACTTCATAAATTACCCAGTTTGAGGTATTTTGTTATATACAACCTAAATGGACTAATACAGGTATCAAACTGCAAATCCCCATGCCCCTCCCTCCCAAAGCCCTCCGGGTGCTCTCTGGAACTCCGGTGGATTGCAAGTGAACTCTTCTTCACTCTGTTCCAGTCCACATGACCATTCAGTCCTTGAAGTGTCCAAAATGAGAGTCAGAAGGAGAAAAGAAACCTAAGCAATTATTCCAGCCCTGGGTCCTCTTTCTTTTCTTTTTTTTCCCCTGCATCCTCTTTCACAGGCACCCACTTCTGTTTTTTAGGTTCAGATTACTCCATTTAGTGCTGGGTCTCCCAGGGAGTCATATGACACCAAACAGCTAGTGAATGAACACTGATTCTCCTTAAAGGCTATGTCCCTCTGAAGCTGGACTTCTTGGAGACCTTATTAGTCCTTTTTTGTTGCTTATAACAAAATACCTAAAACTGGGTGATTTATAAGAAGATGAAATTTACTGCCACAGTTTCTTTCTTTTCTTTTCTTTTCTTTTTTTTTTTTTGCTTTTTCCCGTTGCTTTATTAGACGCGACAGAGAGGAGTCTGCCCACCACCATCTGAATCTTGCTGTGCCCTGGAAGACCCCTCCCTCCCACCAGCCATTTCCCTCCACTGTTGCACCCTACTTGGGGGAGAAGAGACAGAAAAGGAGCCACAGTTGGGGTGGCCGGTGTGAGGCCCCTCTGTAGGTGATCTGGTACACTGAGGCATAGTCACCAGAGCCTGTGATGATCAGGCAGTTGTTGGAAGACATGTCACAGCACATGAGAGAGGTGGTCTCGGATACCTGGAACACCAGTGTTCCCCGGGGCATGCTGTAGAGGCTGACAATGTTGCCCATGCCCATGCGCACCTGCCACTGGCCAGAGGGGGAGAACTTAAGGTCAAGGATGGTGAAGTCCTTCACCCTGCCCCACCACGTGCTTTGGCTCCTGCTGGCGTGCTGCAACCACTGCTGGCTGTCGGCCAAGCCCAACAGCACCCAGTCTTCCTGGGGGCTGTGGGACAGGCTCATGATCTGTGACTTGAATTGGTATTCTAGAAGCTCCTTGACTACCCTCAGGTCCCAGCTCTGCAGACAGGCGTCCAGACACCCTGTCCAGATGTAATGGTTTTTGACTGTGAGGCTCTTGGCTCCATTTGGATGGCTTGTGAGATTCCTGACCATGCTCTGATCCCACAGGTCCCAGATCCTGACCGTGCCACTGGTGAAGCTGGTGAAGGCCAAGTTGTCTTCCAGATCGAGAACCAGGTCCTGGCAGCTGAGACTTTCTCAGGACAGCTCAGCCTTCACATGCAGGGAGGGTGCCTCCAGGTCCCACATGCTCATGCTGGCCCGGCCGTGGCCCTCCTTCAGCAGAGCTCTGCTGTCCAATGACAGCAGGCAGGTGCGCAAGTAGGCCCCATGAGTCTGCAACTGTGCAGGCAGGTTGGTCTTGGGGAACCTGTCCTCAGCCACGTGGCCAGTCAGACTCCACACCCTGATGCTGCCCCTGCCACAGGTAAAGGTGTGCTGTGTGAAGCTGCTGATGACCGTGGCAAGCACGTGTTCTCCGCTTCTTAGCGCCTGCATCTTTTCCATCTTGAGTGGGACTGCCAACCCCATGGATGGCTGGAGCAAGCTATCCAGCCTCTGGAATTCATCTTTGAAGTCCTCGGAGTCCCAGGATATTGGCTTCAGAAATGGATGAGCTCTTCCGGCAGGCTCCAGCTCCTGGGCCATGTCTGGAATCATGCTCCCTTTTGGGGAACCCTCAGGGGAGCTGGAGGCAGTCTCAGGCGAGTGGGGTATAGAAAAACTCAAGGCATCTTCAGGATATGTCTCTGCCTCTGAGTCTGATCCTGGAGTCTTGCTTTCCAGGTCCAGTGCCTACTCCATGAGTCTGCATCTGTGCCTCGGCTCCTCCATGTTATTGTGGAAACCAGCATAAATCTTCCAGAGGTGCTCTGCCAGGACATCTAGCCCAAACTGGGGCTCCTTGTCCCAGCCAAACAGCTAGCTGGTCATCCACTTTGAAGGGTGGCTGGAGCCAGTCAGATGACCTCATGGCCACAACGTCTTTGAAGTTTGACTCCTGTGGAGTCTTGACCACCAGGTGCTGGGGTGGCTCAGGATTGGCTGGTTCCTGACTGTGCTGGTGGGCTTGTTTGCCAGGTGAGGCCTGGCCCACCGGGCACTCCATGGACTTGACACCTGGGAGTTGGCTGCTGGTCTCCATGATGTGGACAAAGTTTTCTACCAGCTTGTGATGTTCCTGTGGATCCTGCCGGACCTTGTTGAACAAGTGTTAAATGTCCTCCAACTGAGCAGTCAAATGAAGAGGAAACCTGGGGGATTGCTTTATGAGCTGATCCAGGGTATCCTGATCATTCAGGGCTGGAGAACTTGTAGACATCCCAGGACAAGGCTAAGGACGGAGGAGAAAGGAGGAAGATGCAAAGGTCAGCCAAGTTCAGGCCAAGAACTATTGCTGACAGTTTCTGAGGCTGGGAAGTCCAAAGTCCATCTGGTGGTGGCGACACTGACCCAGGGGTCTCACATTGCAAGATGGTGGAAGCAGAGAAAGCACAGCAGAGAGAAAGACAGACTCTCCTTTTTTTAAAATCCTCAGAACCATGCCCCTGACCACCATTTTTAATCCATTCACTACTGCATGGTCCTACAATCCAATCACCTCTTCAAGGCTCCACCTTTCAATTACCATAATAGGATTTCCCATCCTCTTAACAGTTACAGTGGGGGCCAAGCTTCTAATACATAAAACTTGGGGGATACAATTCAAGCTTCAGGGAGTTTGGAGGGCACATAATTCAATTCACTACAGGGATAGGGGAGAAGGGACAGGCTTGAGGGTGGAGAAAAACTGGCTGAGCGAGGCACGGGAGCAACACCGAGGGTTGCAATCCCGTTGCCGGTCCCCGGTCCGGTACGGGGGCAACACTGAGGGTTGCGATCCGTTGCCGGACATGGAAAAAAGACAAAAGACAAAAAAAAAAAAAGAAATGATAGGTGTTTATTTTCTCACAGTTCTAGAGGCTGGGAAGTCCAAGACCAAGGCACCAGCAGGTTTGGTTGTCGGATGAGGGCAGCTCTCATCTTCCAGGATAACACCTTGTTGTGTGCTTCTGAGAAGCAGAATGCTGTGTCCTCACATGGGGAAGGCAGAAGGGCAAGTGCGTGGAACACTGCTTGAAGCCTCTTTTGTAAGGGTCTTAATCCCATTCATGAGGGGAAAAGCCCTCATGACCTAATCATACCTTAAAGGCCCCACCTCTTAATACACACTGGCCATTACATTTCAACACTTGAATCTTGGAGAGGATGCATTCAAACTACAGTAGTCTGTAAATGTTTATGATTGTCATATCTTCTGGCTGTATTGAATCTTTTAGTAATATACAGTGCCCTTCTCGGTCTCTCACATCCTTTTTCGATTTAAAGTCTATTTTGTCTGACATTAGTGTAGCCTCTTCACCTCTCTTTTTGATTACTGTTAATGTGGAATACCTTTTTCCATACTTTCACTTTCAACCTATTTGTGTCTTTGAATATAAAGTGAATCTCTTGTAGATAACATATAGGTGGATCATGGTTTTTTAAATCCATTTTGCAAGCTCTGTCTTTTAATTGGAGAGTTTAATCCATTTATATTTAGAGTACTTGCTGACATATAGAGACTTCCTTCTGCCATATTGATATTCCTTCTCCACATGCCTTATAGCTTTTTTGTCTCTCTTTACTGTCTTCTTTGTATTTAGTTGATTTTTTGTAGTGACATATTTTGATTCTTGTGATAGTTAATCTTAAATGTCAGTTTGACTAGATTAAGTGAATTGGTGAAGCATTACTTCTGGGTGTATCTGTGAGGGTGTTTCCAGAGGAAATTGGAATGTGGGTAGATAGACTGAGTGGGAAAGACCCTCCCTCAAAGTAGGCAGGTGCCATTCAATCAGTTGGGGTCCCAGATAGAACAAAAGAAGGAAAGAAAGGGAGTTCTTCCCCTTCTTCTCCTGGAGCTGGACACTCTTCTCCTCCTGCCCTTGACCATCAGAACTCCAGGCTCTCTGGCCTTGGGACTCCACGACTTACACCAGTAGCCCTCTGAGTTCTCAGGCCTTTGGCTCAGTCTGATAACTACACCATCAGCTTCCTTGAATCTGAGACTTTTGAACTTGGACTGAGCCATGCCATTGGCATCCCAGGATCTCCAGCTTGCAGATGGCCTGTTGTGGGACTTCTAAGCTCTACAATTGTATGAGCCAATTGTCTTAATAAGTCTCCTCTCATAAATATGAGGGTACTTTAAAAAGTTCATGGAAAAATAGAATCAAAAAATAATACAAATCTTTCCATGAACTTTTTGAAATACCCTTGGCATGCATATCCTATTGGTTCTGTCTTTCTGGAGAACCCTGACTAGTACAATTTTCTTGTCATTTTCTTCTGTGTAAAATCAATAGTTTCTTTGTGGTTATCATGGGGATTATATTTAACATCTAAAGTTATAACAATCTGATTTGAATTTAAACCGATCTAACTTCAGTAGCATACAAAAACTCTTGCTCCTATATTGCCGTATCTTCCCTTTCTGTTATCAGTGTTACAGATTAAGTCTTTATACATCATGTGCTCAACAACATAGATTAATAAATTGATTTCATGCGTTTGTCCTTTAATCATGTAGAAAATTGAAAATGGAGTTACAGGCCAAAATTACAATAGTACTAACTTTATAATGGCCCCTATATTTACCTTTACTGGAGATCTCTATTTCTTCAAGGGCTTCCAGTTGCTGTGTAGTTTCCTTTCATTTCAACCTGAAGGACTCCCTTTAGCATTTCCTGAAGGGTAGGTCTACCGGTAACAAATCCCTCAGTTTTTGTTTATCTGAGAATATTGTAATTTCTTCCTTATTTCTGAAGGACAGTTTTGCCAAATATTGAATTCTCAGTTGACAGATTTTTTTCTTTCAGCACTTTGAATATATCAACCCACTGCCTTTTGGCCTCCAAGATTTCTGATGAGAAGTCAGCTGAAATATTATTGGGAGCTCTTGTACGTGGTGAGTTGCTTCTCTCTTGCTGTTTTTAAGAGTCTTTCCTTGTCTTTTTTTTTTTTTTTTTCCTGACTGGTAAGGGGGTTGCATCCCTTGGCACAGTGTGGTCTGCACCACGCTCAGCCAGTGAGCGCACCGGCCATCCCTATACAGGATCCGAACCCGCGGCCTCGGCACTACCAACACCACACTCTCCCGAGTGAGCCATGGGGCCAGCCCTTTCCTTGTCTTCTGACGGTTTGATTATAATGTGTATTGATGTAGGTCTCCTTGAGTTTATCCTACTTGTTTGTTTGGTGAGCTTTTTGGATTTGTAGGTTCATCATTGTCATTCATCAAATTTGAGGCATTTTCAGAAATTATTTCTTCAAATATTGCTTCTGCTCTTTTCTCTCTCTCTCTCTCTTACGGATTACCACAATGTGTGTATTGATCCGCTTGATGATACCTGCTGCAGTTTGAATGTTTGCTCCCTCCAAAACTTATGCTGAAACTTAATCCCAAGTGTGACAGTGTTGAGAGGTAGGGCCTTTAAGAGGTCGGGTCATGAGGTCTCTCCCCTCATGAATGGATAAATCCATTCATGGATTAATGATTAATGGATTAACGGGTTATCATGGAAGTGGACTGGTGGCTTTATGGAAAGAGGAAGAGAGACCTGAGGTAGCATGCTCAGCCCCCTCACCATGTGCTGCCTGAGCCACCTTGGGACTCTGCAGAGAATCTCCCACCAGCTAGAAGACCCTCACCAGATATGACTCCTCAGCCTTGGACTTCTCAGCCTCCAGAACTGTAAGTAATATTTTTTTTTCTTTGTAGATTACCCTGTTTCAGGTATTCTGTTATAAGCAACAAAAACAAACTAAGACAATATACCACAAGTCTCTTAGACTCTGTTCACTTTTCTTCATTCTTTTTCCTTTCCATTTCTCAAACTCAGTAATCTTAATGGCTGTATCTTTAAGTTCTCTAATTCTTTCTTTAGCTTACTTTAATCTGCTTTGGAACCTCTTTAGTGTATTTTTAAATTTAAGTTACTATACTTTTCAGCTCCAGAATTTCTTTTTAGTCCCTTTTAATATTTTCTATCTCTTTATTGATATATTCATTGTGTTCATACATTGTTTTCCTGTCTTTGTCCATGTCTTCTTTTGGATCTTTCAGCATCTTTAAGACAGTTGTTTTATAGTCTTTGTCTAGTAAGTTTGATATTTGGACTTCTTCAACTATGTTTTCTGCCTATTTATTTTGTTCCTTGGAATGAGTTATACCTTCCTGTTTCTTTGTATGCCCTGTGCTGATTTTTTTGTTGCTGTTGAGAAATGGACATTTGAATCTCTTAATGTGGTAACTCTGAAAATATGATTCTCTCCATTCCCCAAGGTTTGCTGTTTTTTGATTGTTGTAGGGTATCTCTGTGCTGGAATCAACCTAAGGTGAAAGCTTAAGTTTCTTTCAGCGCTTTTTTGAGCCTGCCTCTCTTTCTGAGCATTCACAGTGGTTTTCTAAATTCTCTCACATATGACGTTGTTTTTGAAGGTCTAAAACAATAGGTGCTGCTCCTTTAAGTCTCCTGGAAGCCACTCAACTGGTGGAGATTGAAACCATGGAATACAGCCTCCATACGTGCCCCTCAGCAATCAGAAGCAGCAATCCATAGTCAGAACACAGAATTCTAATGTTTGGTTGCTGCCACAGAACTGGGAGATTAGAGATGAGTAGCCACCACTGTGCTGATGGCTGAAATCAATACAGATTAGCTGCAATTGACTAGAAAAGTTGTCTCCTGGAGGATGAAAACATTCAAATAAACTTGAGAGTTTAAAAATAGTCACTTTGGTTTCTAACATTGTAATTGTTGTCCATATGGACAGACATATTTCTGCTGCTTCCTACTCTATCCTTTTCCCTGACATCACTCCTGACATATATTAAAAGGATTACTCCTGCTGCTATATTAAACATTGGCTTTATATTAGCAAGGACAGAAGTATGGGCACCAATTAGAAAGTTAGTGAAATAATTCAGGTGAGAGATCATGGTGACTTGTACTAGAGTGGCAGCAGAGAGTTGATGAGAAGTTCCAAATTCTGGATATATTTTGAAGGTAAAGCTAATAGATTTTCTAATGGATTGAATGTTGGGAGAGAAAGAGAGTGAAAGAGATAAAGAAGCTCAAAGCTGACTTAACAGTTTTGACTGAAACAACTGGAGGGATGAAGTTGACATCAACTAAGATGCAGGAAATACCAGGAGTTTTGTTTTGGCACATTGACTTTGAAATGTCTACATGCCATATAGGTAGTAATGTGAGTCTGAAGTTCAAGAGACGTCTGATCCAGAGATAGAAATTTGGGAATAGTGATACGTTGGTGAAATTTAAAACCATGAGACTATACAACATCACTAAGGAAATGAGTATAAGTGGAAAAGATGACAAAGGATAGAACCCTGGCACCCTCCAACATGAAGAGGTGAGGAAAAGAGAAGGAATCAGCAAAATAAGCCAAAAGTGACCCGTGAGGTAGGAAGACTCTCAAGAAAGTGCTATGTCTTAGAAGACAACTGAAGAGATTATTTCAGGGAAGAGAATGAGCAACCTTAAGAAGTGCTTCAGATAAGTAAAATGAGGATTAAAATACAGCCATAGGATGTCATCATGTAGAGTTTATTGGTCATATTAACAAGAGTAGTTTTGGTTGAAGGATGGGGATAAAAGCCCTATTGGAGTTGGTCTAAAAGAGCATGGGAGGAGAGGAATTGAAAACATTGGGTATAGACAACTCTTCTGAGGAAGTTTACTAGAAAAAATAGCAAACAATTGGATAGTAGGTTATAGAGCAGTGTGTCCAGAGTAGGTGTTTTAGGATGGGAGAAATAATAGTACATGTTCAGCAGATGGAACCTGTAAAATCGATGTTGTAAAGAAGAGAGAAAGAAAAACTACTGCTGGGGAATGCCCTTGAGTAAGTGAGAGAGGATGGGATTTAGTGCACAAGACTGGCTCTTGATAGGAGCTAGGAAAGTTCATCTGAGTCATGGAAGGCAGGCAGAATCCTTGGTGCAGATGCTGTAGGTGGAGAGTCCAGAGAATTTTCTCTCTGGTTGTTTGAATTTTCTAAGAGGAGGGCAAGGTCACCAGCTGAGAGTGAAGACAGGAGATGAAGTGAAGACAGTTATGAAAGAGTTGTTTGGGAGAGTGAATTTAATAAAGAACCATTATATGACTGCCAGACAGGGTTAAGGTTTATTTGCTGTTCACATCACAAAATTAAAATCAGACCATCGGCATGGTCACATCATTTTCTCTGATAACATTCAGCTGCATGGAGGGTTGGATCTCACTAGGGTTGTGGTTTTTGTCAAGTGAGCACAATGAAGCATAAGAGAGATAAGGGAGTTGAGAATACGTGCAAGGGGGTGATCAAAATGACTGATCATAAATTTAAGTAGGTGAGAGAGGACATGAAGTCAATTATGGTCAGAGGGAAAGTGGCAGACTAATAGATCAGAAGTCCTAGAGTCAAAGGATTGTTGGGTTAGTGCACTAAAGGAATGAGCTGGAAAGGTCGGAGGTGTGGCCAGAGAGTGAAATGGAGGAACAGTTGGGAAGGACTTGTACAGCCACTAAAAACGACAAGGTAGGGTACACCCCTGGGAGCATGTGACTAATGAACTTTTTCCAAACGAACTTTTTCTTTTTTTTTTAAAGATGACCAGTAAGGGGCTCTTAACCCTTAACTTGGTGTTGTCAGCACCACGCTCTCCCAAGTGAGCCACAGGCCGGCCCATGCTCAAGGGTTTTTGTTGGTGATCTACCAGGCAGCCCACCGACTGAACTAATTTGGAACCCACTCACTAGTTGATAGAAAATCAAGTTCTGTGGAGGCCACCAAGAATGGCCTGGGACTCCAGCCCCATTACTCCTGTCTAATAAAGCAACGTGAGCCACTTGGCTGTCACTTTGGAGAACATCAGAACTTGATATAACTACATTGCAGCCTCTCTGAACACACATATAAATACTCCAATCCAATTATATGCACTCTGCTAGAAAAATAAAGCCAAACCCTGCATTTCTTGAACAAGCTGGTCCCCAAATGCATGTCAGACACTTCATCTGGGGAAGAAACAGCCAAATCCATGTTCCTGGAGATAAAAGTGTCTGAGTGGGACTTAAGAAGAGACTTGCCACATTTTCTAAATTGTGTGTTTTTTACTTTATGGAAGATTTAAAGGATTTTTAAGGGTAACATTGACAATGCAGGAGTTTCACGTTACATGCTGACTTGATACAAGATGCCATTCTGCATAGAGCCCTTTCATTTACAAATATGCTTACACTTTTATTATTTCATTTGATCCTCACACCCACCCTCTGGGCAAACAGGGCAACTCTTGGTATCCCATTTTGTAATGGGGACACTGAAACACAGAGCTAATGAGAGGGCCAGGACCAGGGTGAGCAAGTGAGGAGTTGGTACAAGTGCAGGTGGGATTCTGTCTTCATTTAAAATGTTTACATTTTATTCGTCATAGAATTTTTGCATTAACTTTGATTTTGCAAAATATAGAATTAAAATATTATTTATCTTGATGACTGAATGAAGGCTAGTGGCTTGTTTGCTTCATCCTAGTCCTGGCCCCAAGTTCCAGGCACTGCAGGATGGATGGATTAACCTGAATCATATAAAATATCCATCCACTGCACATGAAAAAGGGGATGAATATCAGGAATTTCATACGTTTGACCTAATAGACCCTCCCAGCATGGAGTCGTGAGGGCTCACACGGATCTTATGCTGCATGTGAGTGCTTCATTATTCTGCTCAGTGATCCCCAGGCTGGCTATACAGTAGAGCCACCCATGGGACTTTCATTAAAACCAAAGCCTCAGGCTGGAGGTGGGAAACTGGTGGATATGTTTTCAAAAACCTCCTCTGGCGCGAACCTTTAGATTAGAGCCCCTGGATTAAACCAGAATTAAACCCCCTGTAGAGGCAGGGGTCTTGGATCCAAATTCTGATGCTAGCACTTTCTAACCACATGGGCCAAGGCAAGTTACAAGTTTGGTGAGTGTTGAGTCATGTACATAAATGTCTAGCATAGTATACCTGGCACAGCAACAAATCCTGGATAACAGTTAATGCTTCTATAAGCTACTACTTTGAGCTGAGGTTCAGAGAAGTTAAGTAAGTCAACCAGGGTCACACAGCAAATTAATGAAAGAGTTGGTTTTGGGACCCAGGTCTGTCTGGCCCCATGGCTAGAGCTGACCTGACTACACTTGCCACCCATTAAATGCTTCCTGCAAGAACAGGGGCCCTCAATAATGAGCCCCGGCATTTTCTAATGAGCCCCCTCCCTGACCCCTATGAGGATCAAAGCTGCTCTGACAGGCAGAGGCAGAGCAGGAGGTGCAGGAGCCTAAGTGAGCAGGCGCCTCTGCCTGGGGATTTCCCTGCCTCCTCTGTCACCTCGCACTGTCCACCCCTAAGCTTCTGGCTGGAGCTGCCAGCTGCCTTCACTTCCTCACTTCCACTTCTGTCCTTTAACCTTTTCTGTCCTGGCTTCTGTTCCTAGCCCTCTTTTGAAACCAGTGACTTCCTGAATGTTGACATTGTGGACACCACTGGAGACCGCCGCCTTGCAAGGCACCACCAGCAACTCACTTTCCCCAGTTTCATTTCCCTTTCACTTTCTGCCATGCCACAGGCCAAGGAAAGTGACTGAGCCTGGCCTGGCCTCATCTCCTGCCACCTCTCTTCCTTATCTCCTACCTTCCCAGCAGACCAAAAGTCTTATGGTTTCCCTGCCCCAGGCTGTCCCGCTGCTGAAGCTTCACTCGCTCTATTTCCTACCCGGAAGGCCCTTGCCCTTAAACCCAGCTTTGGTATCTGCTTGATTCAGGTAACAAAGCTTTTTGTGATATTCCCACCCCTGCCTCCCCGCCTCCAGGCCACCCCAGACCTCTTGGGTGCCTCAATTATTGCTGTATTTCACAGCCACCTTCCGGAGTTGAGTTTTACCCACATGCGTCCTGCATACTAAATTGTGAGTGTCTTCAAGGCAAAGGCCTTTCCTTCAGCTGCCTGGCACACACTGCCTCTAGTGATGATAATAACAACACGACTGTGGAGTTTATTATGCACCAGGTGTGTCCTAGCCACCTTGCGTGGTTTAATTCATTAATACTCACAACAATCATAGCATCTTCTTTATTTTACCAATGAGGAAAGTGAGGTGCTCAAAGCTTAAGTGACTTGGCCAGAATAAAACAGGAGGTGAAATTTGAACACAGGCTTTCTAGCTCTTAGCATCTGTGTCTTAACCACCATGCTGTACAGCATCCCTGGTCGGGATGCCTGACATGAGGGCAAGAGGGAAGAGGTTCCTCCCTTCAAGGAGTTCAGATCTCACCGAGGGCAGAGCAAGCACACTTGGGCACGCACGCAGAAAACTACAGGGGAAATAAAATTGGATGCTAAAATGTGCAGTATAAAGCAGGGCTTCTCAAACTCTAATATGTATGTCAATCTCCTGGGAATCATGAAACTGTAGGTTTGGATTCAGCCTGTCTGGGGTGGGACCTGAGACTCTGTTTTGCTACCAAGTTCCCAGGTGATGCTTGTGATGCTGGTCCAGGAGCTACACTTTGATTAGCAAGGGTGAACTCTAAGGGCTGAAGCAGGTCAGAGGAGGGAGAGTTCAGTGTGGGCTGGAGAGGTCCTGGTCAGCCAGTTGGGTCTAGGACAATGGCAGGGCTTGGACAGGCAGAGGCAAGGGGGAGAAACATCATCCCCAGGGTCGCCCAGCTCTTGGCTCTCAGGGGGCCTGGAAGCAAGAGGTGGTTTAAGGGCCCGTAGCTTGTGCCCCAAAGCCACCTTGACCTCCCTGAACAAGCAGCTGTACTAAGCAGGAGCTCCACATGTGAATAGTCCATTTTTGCGAAATGCTTAATCCTGATCTTATCAGGAAACTTTCTGCAAATTCAGAAGTCAGAGGCAAAGGGAAGTGGTGCATGGTCTATAAGTAGCTGCAGTGGTTAAATGGGAGCAATCTTTCCCCAAGTGTTTCCTCTTGAGGGGAGCATCTCTGCTGGCTCCAGGACTTTGGCCATCTATAAAGCTTAGCAACAGAAAGTAAAGAAATTCTCATACAGGAAGAATTCTTGGGTAGCACCCACGACCAAGCGGCTTTTAACCAAAGTGCGATGGAGATCTTCCACATCAATGGTAAAGTACCACTCCCCAGTAATGGAATTGCCTGGTAATGTAATCTTTCTGCTGATGAGATGTAAGAATAGACAAGTGGATAATAAGTGTAGGTGTGCCATCACCACAGTTTCCACCTAACTCTCACTAATACATGTCTGGAATGCTTCCATCTGGAATTTAGGGAATGCTAATAATAGATGTTATATCTTTAGCATGTAGTTGGGTTATTTGTTAGCTTCACAGTTCTTTTAAATTGTATTAATGCTAATACTTATTAAATGCCCTCTTTTTCATTAGTATCTTACTCTGACACACAGGATATATGGTCAAACGGCAAAATAAAAAACAGGGGGCAAAAAAGCCCCACAAAACTGAAACCGAGTGCCACCTATTATTCAAATGCAATTCCTCTGAAATTCTTTAAGGAGATTTCTGTTACAACTGATGTGCTGATCAGGGGACACTTCATTTCACGTTGCTAATATATGTTCATGGCTCCTTAAAAAGTTTGTCTTAGATTGAACTCAGTTTTAAAAAATTCAGTCAACTCTGTTGTCTTTATTTTCTCACTCCGCATTACACAGGCGATGCATTTTTAAAATCTTCTAAAATTTGTTGCATTTAAAGTCACAGGTGGGCTTGTGTTTCACGGGTGATCTCTGATTCCCCATTCTAGGACATTCTCTTAGAATCATCTTTAAGATGATTAGTCATTCCCACTCCCAGGCTTTTCTGGAAGTTGTATATGCAGGAACAATGGCAGCTCTGTCCCCTGGCCCAAGTGTCTTGGTCATCCAGCATCTGTCTGTGCAGGTCCCTAGCTGGAATTTATGGGGGTACAAAGATGAAAGTTCTGGGGCTCTGCCTCTAGGAATTTACAGTGTGGTGACAGAGAAAGGCATGTTTTTGAATGACCGTGATAATCATTGGCTGTTCAGAACTTTTCAGAATGTGGCGTTCTAGATATATGACTTTTAAGATATTAAAAATGCTCAAGCAAAGTCAGCTGCTCAAACATATTCGGCACCTGCTACCTGCTGGGCACTGCACTCAACGGCCAGGAAATAGACATGAATCAACACAGCATCTGCCCTCGATGACCCTGTACTCACATCAGTCGTGGCAGGAGGGTGGCAGGGTTAGCCCTACCATAAACTGACAACTTCTATACAATTGATCACCAAACATTATGGAAGGATCTAATCTGTTGTGGGGCCCTGAAGGACACAGCTGACACCTCTTCTAGAATTTAAGAGACAAGGGGGGTTAGTTAAAAAAACGAAGTATTGGATGGGGCAGGGAGTGCCACAGGGTTTTATTGTGTTCACAAGGAATATTCCAAGAAACACATACAGCTCCATACTGCTGGGCCAAAATTGGGAGGGGAAGCTCACTGGGAACTGAGGCTGGGACCACCACACTTGGACTTTACCTGAGGGGGAGAAACATCCTCCCCAGGGTCGTCCAGCTCTTGGCTGCCAGGGGACCTGGGAGCAAGAGGTGGTTTAAGGTATTGTTCCCCAAAGCCACCCTGACCCCCCTAAACAAGCAGCTGTACTGAGCAGGAGCTCCACAAGTGAATAGCCCATTTTTGAGAAATGCTCAATCCTGATCTTATCGGGAAACTTTCTGCAAATTCGGAAGTCAGAGCCAAAGGGCAGTGGTGTGTGGTCTACAAGTAGCTGCAGTGGTTAAATGGGAGCAATCTTTCCCTGAGTGGTTCCTTTTGAGGGGAGCATTTCTACTGGCAGCGGGGAACTGGAAAGGGCTGAAGTCAGGGCTGACCTGTGTTTGAGGCTGCTCACTGTCACAGATGGGGGACGGCTAGAGCAAATACCTGAGGACAAACAGGAGCTTGGCAGCCAGAGATGATGAGGTGCAGTGCTTACAAGAGAGGAAAAGAGAGAGTTCTCTGGAGGAATATTAGAAGTCAGACCAATAGGGCTGTAATGGTGGGACAGGGCGGGGAGGGAGATGAAAGAGTCATGGGCCAATCCCAGATGTTTGATGTGGGTGTCGGGATGCCATGAACTAAAACATCTAACCACAAAACCAAAAGCACTCCAATTTGGATGGAACATTTTCCTAAATGCACTCACAACTTCCTGCCTTCTAATACAAAGATCACGGAAGATGAGGAACTTTCTAGACGGTGCCATTATGAAAGGTTATTGCCATGAGGCTCCATCACCTAGTGACCCCAGGGGCTTACTGTGATGAATAAAACTACTGGCTTCATTCAGCACTGAAGGGCTCTAGGCATCTCCATTCATTTCTTTTCAGCTGCTAAAGTTTGCTTTATTAATAAAACTACTGGCTTCATTCAGCACTGAAGGGCTCTAGGCATCTCCATTCATTTCTTTTCGGCTGCTAAAGTTTGCTTTATTGTTTTGTTTTGTTGTTTGTTTGTTTATTTTGGCCTATATAGTTAGTTTTGTTTTCTTTAGAAAAAACACTAAACTTTCCACGTGCAGTTCACCAAAAACACCACTGAAAAACGTTTGTGATATCATTTTCTCATTTGTTTTTCTCTATTGTTACTGGTGTTGAAATATAAAATGCTGCCTTTCCCTGATGATAAAATATTAAAATTGTTTTTTATTTATTTATTTTTTTATTAACCAAGGGTACCAGACTAAGGTACCAGATTAGGGGTGTTTTAATCATACCCTGCAGAAACTTTTAAAAGTGAGTTTGAGAAAGTTTTGGAACATAACCGTTTTTCTCTAAAATTAATCTAAAAAATGGTGATGAGTTTAAATTTCACAGGACATTCTACAAGCAAAATATACTTTGTCTCCATCCCTCTGGTCACTGCTGTATTCAAGCCTTTGTCACATCTGCCGTTGCTCATTGGTAGCAAGCCCCTTGAATCCATTGCAGGCACTGCAGTCGAGGTATTCTTTCTTTTTTTTTTTTTTTTTCCTTTTTTTCCTGCTTTTTTTGAGGTATGATTGACAAATAAAAACTGCATGTATTTATGGTGTTCCTGTGATGATTTGACGTACATATACACTATGAAATGATCACCACAAAGACTGATTTTGTTTCCTAGATACAAGTCCTTTGCCAGATATGTGGTTTGCAAATACTTTCTCCCAGTCTGAAACTTTCATTTTAATCCTTATAACAGGATCTACTGCAGAACAAAAATATTTTTATTCTGATGAGGTCCAATTTAACAATTCTCCCTCCTATGGATTGTGCATTTGGTATCAGGTCTAAGAACTCTTTACCTAGCCCTAGGTCCTGAAGATTTTCTCTTATGTTTTATTCTAAAATTTTTATAGTTTTACATTTTACAGTTAAGTCTATGATCCATTTAGAATTGATTTATATATATATATATATATATATAATGTATGAAGTTTAGGCCAAGATTCTTTTTTCTTTCTTTTTCTTTTCGGGTTTTTTTTTTTTTTTTTTTTTTTTTTTTTTTGTCCATGGATGTCCAATTACTTCAGCACCATTTGTTGAAAAGCCTATCCATCCTTCACTGAATTGTTTTTGCACCTTTGTCAAAAATCAATTGGGCAAACTTGTGTGGGTCTATTTCTGGGTTCTTTATTTTGTTCTGTTTATCTGTATGACTATCCTTTCACCAATACCACACTCTTTTGATTATAGTAACTATATTGTAAACCTTAATATCAGAGATATTCCTCATATTTTATTTTCTGTCCAAGATTGTTTTAGCTATTCTAGGACCTGTGTCTTTTGCTATAAATTTTAGTATCAGCTTGTATATACCTACAAGGAAACCTGAGATTTTGATAGGAATTGTATACAAGCATAGACATGTAGAGAGAATTGACATCTTTACTATAGTCAGGCTTACAATCCATGAACATGGTATGTCTTTTCATTCAGCTGTTTGATTTTTTTAATTAGAATTTTGTAATTTTCAGGATACAGATTCTGTACATGTTTTGTTAGATTTATATCTAAATATTTTATTTTCTCTCTGGTAATTTTATTGTGTTTTTAATTTTTGTTTCCAGTTGTTTGTTCTTAGTAAGTAGAAATGTGATTGATTGTTATATGTTGATCTTGTATCTTGCAACTTTGGTGAATTTATTAGTCCTAGAAGTTTTTTTGAAGATTCTTTGATATTTTCTATGTAGGCAGTCATGTCCTCTACAACTAGGAGTATTTTTATTTATTTTTTTCCAATCTGAATGCTTTTTATTTATTTATTTTTTTCTTGTCGTAATGTACTGGCTAGAACTTCTCAGTATTATGTTGAATAAGAGGGTAAGAACATGTGCTCTTTCACCATTAAGTATGATGTTAGCTTTAGATATTCTGTAGGTGCTTTTTTTTTTATATTGGGGAAGTTTTCCATTTCTAGTTTGCTGATAGTTCTTACTGAGTTCGTTATTTATTGTGGCATAATTATGAGAAATTTATTATGAATTAGAATTTGCCAAATGCTTTTTCTGCATTGATTATATGATTTTTCTTCTTTAGCTTGTTGATCTGGTGGATTATACTGACTGATTTTGAAATATGGAATCATCCTTGCATATCTGGAATAAATCCCACTTGGTCACAGCATATAATTCTTTTTATACATTGCTTGATATAACTTGTTAATTTTTTACTGAATACTTTTGTGTCAAAGTTTATCAGAAATATTGGTTTTTAGTTGGTTTTTTGTTTTGTGTGGGGGGTGGGTTTGTTTTTGTTTTGTTTTATTTTGCTTTGTTTTGTTGTACTATCTCATTTGGTTTTAGTATCAGTATAATTCTGACCTCATAAAATGCGTTAGGAAGTATTCCCTCCTCTTCTATTTTCCATAAGAAATTATGTAAGATTGGTGCTAATTCTTCTTTAAATGTTTATTAAGGTACTCAAGCAAAACCATCTGGGCCTGAATATTTCTTTTTTGGGGAGCCTTTTAATTAAAAATTAAATTTATTTAATGATTATAGATATTCAGACTTTGCATTTCATCTTGGTTGAGTTTTGATAGTTCGCAACTTTTCAGGAATTGGCCCATTACCTTTAAATTGTAA